TTCATTACATTCAACAATAGAATTCAGGCTATATTCACCTGGTGAAAATTATAATTTTTAAAAAAAATTCTTGTATCTACAGTTCCAAAAGCATTTCATGGAAATTCCATTTTATGCTTCTGCCCCCTTTGTTAAATACTAATTGACTGTAGAGACTTGGCTTTATTTCTGGGCTCTCTGTTCTGTTCCATTGGTCTATGTGCCTGTTTTTATGCCAGTGCCAGGCTCTTTTGATTACAGTGGCCTCGTAATAGTTTGATATCAGGTATTGTGATTCCTCCTGCTTTGTTCTTCTTTCTCAAAATTGCTGCAGCTATTCGGGGTCATTTATGGTTCCATATACATTTCTGAAATGTTTGTTCTATACTGTGAAATATGTCATGGGTACTTAATATGGATTGCATTGAATCTATAAATCCCTTTGGGTAGTATGGCCAGGCTTGATCCCCAAAATATGTAAAGAACCCACAGGACTCCACTCCAGGAAGACAAAAAAAAAAAACAATTAAAAAATGGGCAAAAGACTTGAATGGACACTTCTCCAAGAAGGACATAGAGAGGGCCCAGAGACACATGAAAAGATGCTCAGCATCATTAGCCATCAGAGAGATGCAAATTAAAACCACAGTGAGATACCTCCTCACACCAGTCAGAATTGCCAACATAAACACATCAACAAACAAGTATTAGAGAGGATGTATAGAGAAGGGAACCCTAGTGCACTGTGGGTGGGAATGCAGACTGGTACAACCACTGTGGAAAACAGTATGGAGTTTCCTCGGACAACTAAAAATGGAACTGCCTTTTGACCCAGCAATTCCACTGCTGGGATTATACCCTAAGAAGCCTGAAACACCAATCCAAAAGAACCTGTGCACCCCAGTTTATAGCAGCACAATTTACAATAGACAAGTGCTGGAAGTAACCTAAATGCCCATCAGTCAATGAGTGGACCAAAAACTGTGGTACATTTACACAGTGGAATTCTATGCAGCAGAGAGAAAGAAGGAGGTCCTACCCCTCGTGACAGCATGGATGGAACTGGAGAGCATTGTGCAAAGTGAATAGCCAGGCAGTGAAAGACAGATACCATATGATCTCACCTTTAACTGGAACATAATCAACAAAAGAAGAGTGCAAACAAAATATAACCAGAGTCATTGAAATTAAGAACAATCAAACAATAGTCAGAGGGGAGGGGGGAGGGGGCAGTGAGGAGAAGGGTTTTCAGGAACTACTATAAAGGACAGATGGACAAAACCAAGGGGGAGTGTGCAAGCAAGAGAAGGAGGTGGGTTTGGAAGGGAAGAAAATACAGACAACTGTAATTGAACAACAATAAAATAAGAAGAAGAAGAAAGAAACCATAACCTGGGAAACTACATCCAAAGAAAGCATACCCTGAGAAACCATATCTGAGGAATCTATACTATGTATTCTAAGAAACCATATCCTAAAAGACAATATCCTAAAAAAAACATATACTGAGAATCCAAACTGTGCATCCTAATAAACTATAACCTAAGAAATAATGTCCTAAAAATAATATGTATCCTAAGAAACCATATCCTAAGAAACCATATCCTAGGAATGCAAATGATATATTGTAAGAAACCATATCCTGAGAAACAATATCCCAAAAAAGGATATCCTAGGAATACAAAGTATATATTCTAAGAAACCATATCCTAAGACACCATTGAGTAAGAAACCATATCACAGGAAATTAGATCCTAAGAAAGTATATCCTGAGAAACCATATCTAAGGAATCCATACTATGTATTCTAAGGAAGCATATCCTTAAAAAACATATCCTAAAAAACCATGGCCTAGAAAATCATAATAATTATCCTATGAAACCATATCCTAAGAAACTATAACCTAGGAATCCAAACCATGTATTCGAATACACAACATACAAAGAAGTCATATTGTAAGAAATCACAAACTAAAAAACCATATCCTAGGAATCCAAACTATGTATTGTAGGAAACCATATCCTAAGAAACCATATTCTAAGACGACATTACTTAAGAAACCATATCTTAAGAAACCAGATCCAAGGAATCAAATCTATTTATCCTAAGAAACCATATCCTATGAAAACATATCCTAGGAATCTAAACTATGTATCCTAAGAAACCATATCTAAGACACTATACCCTAAGAAACCACACCCTAGGAAAATAAACTATGTATCCTAAGAAAATATAACCTAAGAAACCAATCCCAGGAAATCATAATATGTATCCTTACAAACCATATGGTAAGAAACCAAATCCTAAGGAACTATTTTCTAAGAAACCATATCCTTAGAAACCATATCCTAATAAAGGATATCCTAGGAAACTACTACATTTCCTAAGAAACCATATTTTAGGAAACCATATATGTTAAGAAACCATATCCTAAGAAAGGATATCCTAGGAAAATATACTACGTATCCTGAGAAACCATATCCTAGGAAACAATATCCTTAGAAACCATATCCTAATAAAGGGTATCGTAGGAAACTATACTATGCATCCTAAGAAACCATATCCAAAGAAACCATATCCTAGGAAACCATATATGTATCCTAAGAAACCATATCCTTAGAAACCATGTTCTAATAAAGAATATCCTAGGAAGCTATACTATGTATCCTAAGAAACCATATCCTAGGAAACTATACCCTTAGAAACCATATCGTAATAAAGGATATCCTAGGAAGCTATACTACGTATTCTCAGAAGCCATATCCTAGGAAACCATATCCTAAGAAATCGTATCCTTAGAAACCATATTCTAGGTATCCAAATTATGTATCCTAGGAAACCATATCCTAGGAAACCATGTATGTATCCTAAGAAACCATATTCTAGGAAATCATAATATGTATCCTAGGAAACCATATCCTAGGAAACCAAATCCTAGGAAACCATGTATGTATCCTAAGAAACCATATTCTAAGAAGTCACAATATGTATCCTAGGAAACCATATCCTAGGAAACCAAATCCTAGGAAACCATGTATGTATCCTAAGGAAGCATATTCTAGGAAATCATAATATGTATCCTAAGAAACCATATCCTAATAAACCATATCCTGGGAATCCAAATTATGTATCCCAAGAAACCATATCCTAGGAAACCATATCCTAGGAAACCATGCATGTATCCTAAGAAACCATATTCTAAGAAGTCACAATATGTATCCTAGGAAACCATATCCTAATAAACCATATCCTAGGAATCCAAACTATGTATCCCAAGAAACCATATCCTAAGAAACCATATTCTATGAAACCATATCCTTAGAAACCATATCCTAGGAATCCAAACTTTGTATGTTAAGAAACTATATCCTAAGAAATCATAAGATTCCCCATCCTAAGAAAGCATATTCTAAGAAGCCATATCCTAAGATTGGCTTACTATATCCTTTAGCAGCTTACTTTACAATATTTATAAAACTACAATATCTAATTTCAGAAAATATAGCAAATGTATCTGAACATCTTGATACAGGAGGGGAAAAAGGCAAGGTCTGGATCTTAGCCTGCTTACGCAATGAAGTGGAACAGAAGGAAAAGTGGAGAGCTACGTTTGCTTTAACAGAGCAGGTTTTAATTCTAGAAGAAGCTGGCAGTAAAATGACTTAAATTCTACTTTCAAAAATATGTCTCCACTCTAAAAAAAACAATGTCTCCAGTTCTGGCTGGTGTGGCTCAGTTGGCTGGAGCATCATCCCAAACACAAAAAGGATGTGGGTTCAATTTCTGGTCAGGGCATGTACGGTAGACAACCAATTCATATTTCTCTCTCCCACAGATGTTTCTTTTTCCCTTCCTCTTTCTAAAATAAGTAATTCCTTAGGTGAGGAATACACACACACACACACACACACACACACACACACACACACACAATCTCCAATATTTTCAGTTAATCTGTCTCTCCAAGTAAAGAAGAGGGCACCGGGAGAATGATGGGAGAAACAAACTGTAGTCAACTTTTACCTCCTCACCCTGACTTACAAGTCGACCTAAAATTAAATCAGGTATAGCCTGGTAGGCCTACATTATTTCAGGGCCCCAGTGACCCAAAGTGCATTATTTTGGAAGCTGATGCTTAAAAGACAAATGCACACTGAAGTAACATTTTGGTGTGTATAAGCTTCTTACAAAGTATTTTAATTAGAAATGGTGATCATATATTTACTAAATGGTTGGGGCCATGGGAAACATAAAAGAAGCAGTAGTAAGATGAAAAAGGTGGTCAATGGGAAAGCAATTTTTGCAGACTTCCCATGTTTGCTCTAGGTCTATGTTTCTTACCTTTAAGGTGCTGAAAAAAATACAAGAGATGCATGGAGATCTTGATTGCTAGGCTCTACATATATTTCTGAACCTTAAATGAAATACAGTGTTACAACCTAACGTGGCCTATAAACGTTGGAGGTGGGAGAGGCAGAAGTTATTATTCTACTTGATGCTGATCTTTTTTTGTACTTGACTCTGATCTTAAAATAATTTTTCAAGGCTTAGAGACTAAGATTTTAATTTGTTCTTAATGCATAAAAGGTTAATTTGCCACTTTAAATAACTTGCAGATAAATGCATTTCCTGATAAGTTCTAAAATTATTGTAACTCATTTCCTTTTTCTCTCTTTTTAAAATCGCTTATACTGTTACAGTTGTTCCCACTTTTTGTCCCTTTCCGCCTTCCACCCATTCCCACCCGCTCCCCTCCTCTGTCAATCCCCATATCTTCTTCATTTTCTTAAATCCTCTTCCCTTATAAGCATATTAGAAGAGTAATCCTAAAATGAGAAAAATATTGCAGTTTCAAACATATCAAGGTATATATATAAACAAATATCTTGAAACACTTTTTTTATAACTGGCTCCTAAACAATATACAGCTACTTTCAATGAAATCTGAAAATGGCTGTACGTGTTTATAAAAGCAGACACTGTTTTATACTCAGAAATGATCAGGCAAGGTCAACTGTAAATGTTAGAAAGTTGTAGCCTTTTTATTTAGTACCCAGAAAATGCCAGTAATTTAACATGATATGTTGATAAATGTTGCTCACAGAGTTTTAACAAAAACAAAATAAATATAATTTCTATGTCATCTTTGGCATGTTGTAAATTCAAAATTATAGCCATTTCTTTAGCAGCACTGTGAAGGGAAAAAGCACTATCAAGTACACTACTGGGGTGGGGCTTACATGAAAAATGTAGAACAATGAAAACTTTCATGTCAAAAAGAGCAATGCTTTTAAAAACCAGTTATAAAGTAAATGATGGTATAAACTCCATGATGTAGTCAGAAAAAGAAAATACAGTTATCTGAAGACTGGGGACCATTTCTTTCAATAGCCGCATTTACATTTTTAAGTACACATGAATCAAATTTACACATGACTGTTATTTAATGCCGTTTCTGTCTGAAGAGTGCAACAAAAAGCCAGTGAATGTCATATTTTCTATGTCATGAAATAAGTGTAGGAATCCCAAAGTGCTTGGGAACTGTTGGCAAGACAATGTTTGTGGTTTGTTTTTTTTTTAACTGTGGCTACAGCAAACTATTTACTCTGCATAAATGCCATGTTAACTAATATTACATAATGCTTTTTAAAAATTAAACACAGAAACACCATATTCTCCCTTTTTGGTACTGTGGAATTTAGTTCAAGATAAATTCTCATTTCCAAACCATGCTGGCATTTGAATATTTAATTAGGATTTCCTATATAACTGTCAAAATGGCTATTTCATGTTAGAACACTTTTGTGATCTTAAAAAAATATTTATCATATTAAAAAAACAAATTTACTTTGTTTTTGCTACAAATGGTCTCAACTTCATAGAGAGAGAACTTGAAAACTCAAATGTGACCTGAGCGATATTAGTTGATACAAAAGAAAAAAAGCAAATAACCCTAATTAGTCACACTATGACAATTTATTAAGAAACTAAAGCACTGAGTACAATGTCTAGAACTGTTCCACATGGAATTAGATGCCTAATAAATAATTTTTGAAGAGGCTGATGTACGTAATTAGACAAATAGAATGAAAGCAAAACAGATGCTCTATTGTCCAAGGTTTAGAAATGTGAATACAGAGCAAATCCTAACTCGGTAATCACATATATATTATTTCTAAGAATTTAGCTAAGATTTCTTGCTGGTCAACAAACTAAAAGATACATAATTTGTGCACTAGAATATAAGTAAGCAAGCTTGAATTTCTGTATTCTAAAAATACTTTTCCTTTCTGTTTTTCTTCAGAGTTCAAAGAAAGTTATGCCTAAAATTTAGGAGTTACTATACTTCCAAGTATTAGCAATCAACTTGAATTTTAAGCAATCACGCATTTTGTTAAAATTATATGATGGACTTCACTATATAGTAAGACTAAAAGCAAGAACAGTGCATCATGATTAAAATGTATTTGTGAACAATCACTATCAGTGCCACTACAGTCTTGCATAGGAATGCAGAAAACACACTACTGAGTTGCTCTACTATTTATAGCAGTCATTCATTTTGTGATACATGCCAAAATAACCTGAATAAGCTGAAAGTGTAAGAAACTGTTCTAAAAGTTTAATTGCAGTTGACCAATTTATACTCAATATGGCTTGCATTCTTGTTAAGAAATATTGTGATAAATAGGATCTCTGTGTCCTGAAATCTAGTCAAAGGATCTGGAGACTTTGACCCCCACTGACAGTTTGCATTCAACCTTTCCGAGCTCTCCTTTTCTCTGTAAATACAATAGGAGTAGGAGCCCGGGGGCACGGGAAGACTCCTTATGTTCTGGGTCATATACTGTGAGAAACGGAGACTACAGATAAATATTGGTTTAACAACAACGGCCTCCCTCCACACCATTCTGTCATAGAAATTCATTGTGATTAAAAAGCATGGAAGCTTTTAAGAGAAAATGTAAATTGAGAAGTAGAAAGCCAAGAACCGTGCAAATAATAACAACAATAAATGAACAAATGGCAATTTATTGGGGCATACTGCGTAAATGCCTTGCCCAAAAATGTCTTCCCTGATAATAATTAAAGTTTAAATTAATCTCATTTGGTTAGAGTGCCTGAAAATCCAGCAAGTAGAAACTTGCTTGATTAACAGACATCTTTCTTGAAAAACGCCAATTTTCTACTAGTCACTGATGGAAAAATGGGAATGAAATAGCTCTCCTTTCACCCTGTTCACTGAAAATAGCTGCTCTGTGAAAATGGAAGTTCAGATTTGAGGAAGGGGAAGGATGTGAGGTTCTTTTGGGTTACAGAATCTTTCAGGAATAATTTAATCATAGAGTCCTCTGTGAGGTAATTGAATAGGATAGCACGCAGGGGCTGGAGAGCCAGAGGAAGAGAATGTCAAGAATGCCAAAGACATGCTTTGCCTAGTTTAAAGCCTAAGTTTTCTAGTTAACCTTAAGGCCAAGATAAGTGGTTCTCTACCTTCTTCAGATATAAAGGGTCTCTTATGGTCAGGAAAATACTATTCAATTAATATAAATAAGTTTCTGTGGTCAGTACTATTTTAGCATGTTTTAATAAAACACCAAGCATCTGTCCTTAAGTTTGTGGGTTGCCTAGAGATACAGAATCCCTTTGGGCTAACCAGAGGTGCTATCAAAATGTTTTACTATGTTTAATTATCAAAGGCAATAAATTATAAAAATCAATGTTTAGGTGTTACTGGATCTAACAAAATAGGTTAAAGTTCAATTTTCCCACAAAATTACCATCTCTGGCACTACACTTTAATTTTCTTGCAATTGGTTTCCTGAGTTTATTCATGATACTATGTGCTTTAGGACATTAGATTGTTAGTCTATCTGGGTAAAATTGGTATTTTTCCCTTTCAGGAAAAAAAAACAAACAAACTACAATATCTTCTCCCTTCCAGACAACGATAAAAAACCCAAACTGTGCTATCATGAAACACTACCAAGAAACATCAACTAGAAAGAAAAGCAATGCAAAATCATTGTTCATGAATCCATTAGAAACCAAGTATTCTGAAGTCTTATAAAAAGGATTTTTTACTGTTTAAGTATTTATAGAAGCCCCATCAAAAAAAATATCCCATTTATGTCTGTGTTTGTTGCGTTGCAGTTGTAGCCAAAATAGACATGATTCGGCATCACTACTTGGGTTCCTTCTAAAAAATGAGGGTATAGTTTAAACCTTCCACTTAAAATAAGGTTGCTCCCTACAACTATTAAGCTACCACGTTTGAATTCTTCACCAGAAAAGTCTTGCACAATTGTAAGAAAAACCCAGTAGCATATATGTTTCTTTTATACATTGTCAGTCCTCACTCAGTGATGAGGTATCATGCTGTTCACTGCGTAATTCTGATTGTTCCTTTCATGAAGGACTGTATGGCATGACCATTCTGTGCAAATTCATTGACAAATTAATTCAGATCATCTATTTTTTAAAAAAAACTACTGATTATGGAAAGACAAAGTTATTTTTTGATCAGTTTTCATTTTCCAATTTCACTAACCCTAATTCTATTACTAGAAAAGCACACATGGAAATAGTATCTCTGTTCTGAAAAGTTAAACATCAAAATCATACCTCTGAGTTTGTCATATTAATTTTGATAGGAAGCCATAATAGCACAAAGAAGATAATGGCAAGACAAAAATAAGTGCATGAGCACACATTGTTATGTGCAATTACATATAGTCATAAAGCAAAACGAGGAAAGGAAAAGCCAAATTGGGGCACAAAAATCGACAAGATATAATACCAGTCTAGTTCTAAGTACTGTTTTCCATGTGACATTAGATGTTCTTTAATGTCTTTGAATTACTGCAAAAAGACATTTCAAAATAAAGACATATACTTTATACACCACATCCAAAAAACAGATCTTTGTGCAGGGAATATATATCACTTACATTATAGAGAATATGTATAGTTTCTTTTATTAAATACCAAAGTTATGTCTCCTAGACTAAATTGTATACTTCAATCAGAAATCAACTCTCTCTCTGAACTAAGCAAAATAAAATACACAGCAAACAGTACACCTAACACACACAAGTAGTTCATTTATATTCACGAAACAAAACTGTTAAATCCTCCAAGTTTACATTCATGTGTTCTTTCTGTCAGTAGTAGTAGTAGTAGTAGTAGTAGTAGTAGTAATAGTAGTAGTAGTAGCAGTAGTAGTAATGGTATCTTATTCAACAACACAAAAAGATTCTTTAAAATTTCATCATTTAGATAATACAATACCTAATACACAGTGGTTCTGAATCATAAATTGAATAAGACCGGATCAATTTGGCCAGATTTCTTTTATAATATAATTTAAAAATGTGTTAAAATTTTATGTAGATTATTAATATTACTTCCTATTTTAAAATTTCAGTTCATCTTTTTGAAAGTTTAACTATTACGTAGCATTGTCTAAAGTTTACTGAAATGCATTATACTATATCATGTGTGCTAAGCTCACAAGCCCACTACAGTAAAATTTCAACTACATTGCCATAGGATTCAAGGTAGACTAATATGCTACACTGTAATTCAAAGCACATGGAAACCCAAAAAACAACAGTGTAGTTTCTGGAAGGACAATAATGTCTAAATCCAACTGGTTCACCTAAAAGTTAGCTTACATAACACCAAGGTAGTGTGAACACCATGTATTTTATTTTCAAAGGCTTAATTATGACCTATTTAGCAGGTCAGAACACCAATATAAAGCCTTTGACTAAAAAATTCTTCACTGTTACTCCAGTTCCTTTAGAGGTGAAATTTACAGAAGCCTTATGGAAATCTTTATTTCTAGATGAGGCCACTTATGGACAATATACAGGTCTGACTGCATACCTTATCTGTGACTTAGTTCTGTAAAAACTTTGGCAACAACCATATCAGGAGTTCACATATTAGCACAGAAAACTTTTTCTCTGGCACCAAACTGCCATGTCTACATTTTAGTTAACTAGAGTGGAGTTACTATAAAATGAATGGAGTCCTTTGGTTGTGCACAATAACAAGCTTCTACAATACACTTTCAGCTCGCTTTTTTTTAAGCCTATCCTTCAGGATTTGATATTAAAAAACTGAAATTGACTGACATTATACTATCATATTTGCATCTTGATTATTGGTAATGATCCCCCCAACCATTATCGTATAAAACCAGAAAAATAATTAAAGTAACATTATTTAAAAGGAACTATTGAAGTGAGTGTGCAGAGAAGTTGTTAGGACTTTATGAACACCAATCATATACTTAAGTAAATCTTGGACACTACTGAAAAACAACATTATGAATATCGTGGACCTGTGTATGTTTAATTTTTAATCTCACTCCCCCTAAATAAGGAGGCTTACACAGAATATTCAAGTAATGTAGCAGAAAACAATGCCTTTAATATAAGATTAGGCAAAAGCCACACACTTAATTTTCTCTTTGTCCAGTTTGGCTGAGAAGCACTGGGAATCTTACAAGCCCGTTGAGGTGCGCTTCTTCATACTCCGTCGCTGAGCTAAGCTTGAGGCAGCAACAGGCTCCAGGACTGGCTGGAAGGTCTTGCGAGTCAGGGCCGAATATGTGGCTACCACTGCTCCCTAAAATAATGAGAAATATCACGAAGTAGATAAAAATCTCTGGAGGTGAAAAAAAATGTCCAAGCATATCATGAGAGGTTTAACTAGAATACAACTTTTTTTCTCCAGGAAAATAATTAAGAATACCTGATTTGTAATTGATGCTTCCTCGATGAATTAATACCTGATTACTTGTATATTTTTTATTTCAATAACTATGTGTCTTATAATATATCACTGTATCAGTGTTTGGTCACTACTTTAATATGCTTTTAAATTTTTTAAAGATTTTATTTATTTATTTTTAGAGAGGGAAGGGAGGGAGATAGAGAGAGAGAGAAACATCAATGTGCGGTTGCTGGGGGTCATGGCCTGCAACCCAGGCATGTACCCTGGCTGGGAATCAAACCTGCGACACTTTGGTTTGCAGCCCGCACTCAATCCACTGAGCTATGCCAGCCAGGAATATGCTTTTAAATTTTATCATCAGAAAGGCTGTAGGTCGAGGTCAAGAAGAGCCCATGTTTGTTATTTTGAAAAACAGAATAAAACAAATCTACAAATACATCTTTAAAAAATAAAGATAGTTCAAGGCAATTATGTAAGTGTCATCAGTTGATGGCATGCAGTGGCTTTATTAGGTATTGAGCATATGGAAGGTACATAAAAGCATGTTTTACCTTAATGACATGTGATGTATCACTTCTATTTGGCTGATCACTCGCCAACTGGTCTCTGTGGGTTATCCATGAGTGTTTTAATACTTGTTCTGTAGTGTACCGCTGATGTGGGTCCATATGTAGCATATGGGAAAGCAAATCCTAAATTAAATGAATATGTATATGAAACACAATATATCAATAACTTTTTAGTAAATATCATTTCACATTTTCTCAAAATATGAAAGCATCACATATTTTCAGTCTCTTTGATTTGACCTACCCTTAGCAAAAACAAACCTATACTCTGAATAGTTAATTGTCAAAAGAGAATCTTGAAATAGATTTTTCAATACACCATAAATCTCTATTATTTCTAAATCAGGGGATACCAAATCTGTGGAACTAGAATGTGGTTAGTGAAGGAGAAGGAAAATGTAAAGTAGCAGGAGTTATCTTGGAATGTGCTAAATGGTTAAGAGGAGAAAGGAATTAGTGATCTCAGCTGGTAAGGTGGGCCCCAAAGTATAAGAGTATGTGTATAAAGATACAAGATGGAAGGGAGGATTTCATGTTGTTAATTCACCCAGCAGCTAATGGTTTACTGTATAAAATACTAAAGAAAGCAAAATATAAGTCAAAGGTTAGAAACTGACTGATAGCATAGTACTATTCAGAGTATCATAAGTTTTTCATCAGAATAACTGTGACTATGCTTATTTTATCTTTGATAATAAAGGTTATAAAAGTAATATAACCTAATGGTGAAACCCAATTGTAAATATATGAAATTATGTGTTAATTTAAAAAATATTTTATTTATTTATTTTTAGAGAAGGGAAGGGAGAGAAAAAAAGAGGGAGAGAAACATCAGTGTGTGGTTACCTCTCACATGCCCCCCACTGGGGACCTGACTTGCAACCCAGGCATGTGCCCTCACTGGGAATCAAACTGGTGACCTTTTGGTTCGCAGGCTGGAGCTCAATTCACTGAGTTATACCAGCCAGGGCAAAATTATGTGTTAATTTTAAATAAACTCTGCAAGCACATTATTTTAGACAAAGGAGAAGTAAACTCTCCTTAACAAGCATCTTCTAAAACAGAAACAAAATCATCATTTTGCAAACTTTTCATCAGTATCAGAAGCCATGAAACTAAAAACTCTAAGGAATAACACCAGAATTTGAATAATGGAAATGACTGAAACTATGTAAAGCAGTAGAAAAACCAATAAAAATCTACTGGAAAAAAGGAAAAATGGGAATAAATAAATGGAAAGGAATATAAAAAATATAACAGTGGTTACTTCAATAAAACAGACCTAAATGATAATCATAAAAATGATAAATGTTCAACAGTACACGGACTTCTCCCTCTGGCCAAGATGGAATACCAGGGGCTGGACTCACCCACCTGCTTGAAACAACCTTCTCATCTCCTCACCTGCAAAAACCCATAAATATAGGACACAAAAGCTTTCAATAGATCAGAGAGTGGGCAATGAAGGAGAGTGATCCCTAAAAGACAGGAAACAAATCAAGTAAGCCATATGATTACCCCAGCTTACTACCTTGAAGAGAGAGTGTTCAGGCTCTGGTACACATAAGAGAAACCCAGGCAGAGCCTGGCAGTTTCCCTGAGTTGAGGAGATGGAACAGAGAGTTAGAGAAGAGCAAGACAGACAGAGAGTTAGGAGGGCAGACTATCAGAGAGGTGAGAGGATCAGAGAGAGAACTACAGAGACCTGAAGAAGGTCTCCTGTAAGTACTCAGGAGATTACTGATAAACCTGTATGTGTGTGGTGGTGGTGGGGGAAGACTACCAAAGGCAATGGGAAGAACTACCTAAAAGGATTATAGAGAAATCAGAACTCCCATGTTGGAGAATATTGCCTATTCCCACCAGCTAGACTGGAAAATTTCCTAATTCATGAAGTATTTGGTAAAGTACTTAGAAGCAACTTGCCTGAATAGTGAATAGCCCAAGACTAAAAAAAATATTAATAGGAAAACCTAAAACTACCAAATTATTTCTCCAACTTAACTGTGATGCAGAATAAATTTCAAGAATATTTATAGAAATAAAAATATGTCCTGCATCCACTGGAGTAAAATTCACTATGCCTGGCTTCTTAGCAAAAATTACCAGGTATACAAAAAGAAAGAAAATAAAATACACAACAAGGAGAAAAAAATCAATCAAAATTGACCCATGACTGACACATGTTAGAATCACCAGATAAGGACATTAAAACATTTAACATTCCATTCCACAGGTTCAAATATTAAGTGGGAACATAGTAGGTATAAAAAGATAGAAATTGAACTTCTAGAGATGAAAACTAAAATGTGAGACAAAGAAACTAATGAGATTAATAGCAAATTTGGTATGGTGAATAAAAAGACTGGTGAAGACATAGCAATAGATACTATCCAAGAGAAACAGAGTGTGAAACAAAAAAGCAAAGGAGAAGAGCATTAGTGAGCTGGGGGACAATCTCAAGCAGCATAATACACTTAGTACATTTACTGTCCCAGAGAAAAAGAGGGAAAGAAAAAAATATTTGAAGAAATAAAGGCCCCAACATTTCCAAATTTTTTTTTAATATTTTATTTACTTATTTTTTAGAGAAGGAAGGGAGGGAGAGAGAGAGAGAGAAACATCAATGTGCAGTTGCTGGGGGTTATGGCCTGCAACCCAGGAATGTACCCTGGCTGGGAATCGAACCTGGGACACTTTGGTTCCCAGCCCGCGCTCAATCCACTGAGCTACGCCAGCCAGGGCTAACATTTCCAAATTTGATGAAAACTATAAACCCATAGATCCAAGGCACTCAATGAACACCAAGTGCAGAGCTTATAGTAAAACAAAGACAAGGATAGCAGTAGATTTCTTACCAGAAAAATTCAAATGCCAACACAATAGACCTCCTAAAAATTAATGGGCCAAAGAAGAAATCAAAAGGGAAATATAACAATGAACAAAAATGGATTAATAACATACCACAACTTATGAGAGGCAGCAAAAGCAGGGGTCTAAGAAGGAAGTTTAAACCAATGAATGCCTACATTAAGGAAAAAGAAAATCTCAAAAAAAAAAAAAAACCCACAAAAAACAAAACAACCTACACTTTTACTTCAAAGTCCTAGAAAAAAGTCCAAAATTAGGAGATGAAAGTTGATAGTAAAGATCAAACAAGAATAATGAAATAAAGACCAGAAAACAACAGAAAAGATCAATGAAACTAAGAGCTGGTTTTTAAAAAGATAAACAAAATTGACAAACCTTTAGTTGGACTACTCAAAAAAAGACTCAAATGAAATAAAAATAATACCATAATGATACCAATAATAATTACAAATAATACTGCAGAAATACAAAGAATCACAAGAAACTACTATGAAAAAATTATATGCCAAAGAACTGGATAAACTAAAAAAATGGTAAATTCCTAAAAACGTATAACCTACCAAAACTGAATCATGAAGAAGTAGTAATCCTGAAAAGACCAATTAGGTGTAAAGACACTGAAGCAGTAATCAAAAACCCCACAACAAAGAAAACCACAGGATCAGATGATTTCACTAGTGAATTCTACCAAATAGTTAAAGAAAAAGTAATGCCAATTTTTCTAAAATTCTTTTGAAAAGCAGAAAAGGAATAAACACTCCCAAACTTATTTTATGAGGCCAGAATTACTTTGCTATCAAAGCTAGGTAAGGACACCACAAGAAAAGAAAATACAGGTCAATATCACTGATGAATATACATGTAAAAATTCTCAACAAAATTATAGTACACTAAATTCAACATTACATTAAAAACAACATACACCACAATCGACTGGAGTTTATCCGTGAGAAGCAAGAATGGCTCAACATACACATATCAATAAATGTGAATTACCACACTAATAGAATAAAGGGCAAAAATCATATGATCCTCTCAATAAATGTAGGAAAAGTACTGGATAAAATTCAACATCCTTTCATGATAAAACTCTCAACAACTCTATTCTGTATTGCATTATTTCTGGTTTGCTCTTTATTACCACCTTCCATTTGCTAATTTTGTATTTTTAAGGTCCTTTTGGTTTTAGAGAAAACACACCTTACTGTAATAAAGGCCATATATGACAAGCCCACAACAAATATAATACTATGGTGAATGACTGAAAACATTTCCCTAAGATCAGAACAAGACAAGGGTGTTCACTCTCACCATTCCTATTCAAAACAATATGAAAACTCCTTGCCAGAGAATTTAGACAAGAAAAAGAAATAAAACATCTCTGAATCAGAAAGGAAAAGTAAAATCATCTGTGTGCAGATGGTATGATCTCATATACGGACAGCATTAAAGACTTCACCAAAAAACTGTCAAAATAAACAAATTCAGTAGCTGCAGGATACCAAATCAACATATGAAAATCAACTGTATTTCTGCAAACTAACAACTATCTGAAAAAGAAATAAAGGAAACAATACCATTTATAAAACACTAAAAACAATAAAATATTTAGGAATAAATTAACCAAGGAGATGAATATTTCTTATACACTGAAAAGGATAAAAATTAATAAAAAGAAATTTAAGATGATGCAAATAAATAGAAAGACATCATGCGCTCAAGGGTTGGAAGAATTAATATTGTTAAAATGTCCATACTACCCAAAGTCATCTACAGATTCAATGCAATCCCTCCAAAAAACCAATGGTATTTTTCACAGAAAAATATGAAAATGGTATTTTTTCACAGAAATAGAAAAAAAGCCTAAAATTCATAGGGAATCACTAAAGACCCCGAGAAGCCAAAGTAATTCTGGGAAAAATAACAAAGTAGAGGCATCACCTTTCTTTACTTCAAACTATATGGTGCTGACATAAAAACAGACACATAAACCAAAAACACAGAATTGAAAGGCCAAATATAAACCAAGTAATCTAAGGTTAGGCAATATTTAATAAGAGGTCCAATACTTAATGGGATAAGGATAGTCTGTTTAATAAACAGTGCTAGGAAAACTGGAAAATTATATCCAAAATAATAAAATTAAGCCACTATTTTATATGACACACAAGAATTAATTTGAAATGGGTTGAAGACTTTAAGACATGAAACCATAAAACTCCTACAGAAAAAGCTTCTCAACATTGGTTTTA